AGATAAATACTATTGAAACGAAAAAGGCAGTAGAAAGGATCAATGAGACAAAGAGCTGGTTTTTTGAGACGATAAATAAAATTGACAAACCACTAGCCAGACTTACAAAGAAAAAAAGGGAGAAAGCTCAAATAAACAAAATCAGAAATGAGCGAGGAGAAATAACAACAGACTCTGCAGAAATACAACGGATTATAAGAGAATACTACAAAAAACTATATGCCAACAGAATGGATAACCTAGAGGAAATGGATAAATTCTTGGACTCTTACAATCTCCCAAAGCTCACTCAAGAAGAGGCAGACAATTTGAACAGACCAATCACAAGGAAAGATATTGAAACAGCCATCAAAAACATCCCAAAGAATAAAACCCCAGGACCAGATGGCTTTCCTGGGGAATTCTACCAAACTTTCAGAGAGGATTTAATATCTGTCCTTTTCAAGCTATTCCAAAAAATTAGGGAAGATGGAACACTTCCTAACACATTCTATGAGGCCAACATCATGCTGATACCAAAACCTGCCCAGGACACCAGGAAGAAAGAGAACTACAAGCCAATATCACTGATGAACATAGATGTGAAAATTCTAAACAAAATTTTGGCAACCAGAATTCAGCAATTCATCAAAAGAATCATACATCATGATCAGGTGGGATTCATACCAGGGACACAGGGATGATTCAACATCTGCAAATCAATCAACGTGATACACCACATCAACAAACGGAGGAATAACAACCACATGATCATCTCAATAGATGCAGAGAAGGCATTTGACAAGATCCAACAGCCATTTATGATAAAAACTCTGAACAAAATGGGCATAGAAGGAAACTACCTCAACATAATAAAGGCCATATACGACAAACCCACAGCCAACATCATACTCAATGGGCAAATACTGAACGCCATCCCCCGAAAACAGGAACAAGACAAGGATGCCCTCTATCACCACTCTTATTTAACATAGTACTGGAGGTCCTGGCCAGAGCAATCAGGCAAGAAAAAGGAATAAAAGGAATCCAAATAGGGAGGGAAGATGTGAAACTCTCGCTGTTTGCAGATGACATGATCTTATATATAGAAAACCCCAAAGAATCCGTTGGAAAACTGTTAAAAGTAATCAACAACTACAGCAAAGTTGCAGGGTATAAAATCAATTTGCATAAATCAGTAGCATTTCTATACTCCAGTAATGAACCAACAGAAAAAGAACTCAAGAATACAATACCATTCACAATCGCAACAAAAAGAATAAAATACCTTGGGGTAAATTTAACTAAGGAAGTGAAGGACCTATATAATGAAAATTACAAGGCCTTTCTGAGAGAATTGGATGACGACATAAGGAGATGGAAAGACATTCCATGTACATGGATTGGAAGAATAAACATAGTTAAAATGTCCGTTCTACCTAAAGCAATCTACAGATTCAACGCCATCCCAATCAGAATCCCAATGACATTGTTTACAGAATTAGAACAAAGAATCCTAAAATTCATATGGGGCAACAAAAGACCCCAAATTTCTAAAGCAATCCTGAGAAAAAAGAACAAAACGGGAGGCATCACAATCCCTGACTTCAAAACATACTACAAAGCTACAGTAATCAAAACAGCATGGTACTGGTACAAAAACAGGTGCACAGATCAATGGAACAGAATTGAAAGCCCCGAAATAAAACCACACCTCTGTGGACAGCTTATCTTTGACAAAGGAGCTGAGGGCATACAATGGAGAAAAGAAAGTCTTTTCAACAAATGGTGCTGGGAAAACTGGAAAGCCACATGTAAAAGAATGAAAATTGACCATTCTTTTTCACCATTCACCAAAATAAACTCAAAATGGATCAAAGACCTAAAGGTGAGACCTGAAACCATAAGGCTTCTGGAAGAAAACATAGGCAGTACACTCTTTGACATCAGTATTAAAAGGATCTTTTCGGACACCATGCTTTCTCAGAGAAGGGAGACAATAGAAAGAATAAACAAATGGGACTTCATCAGATTAAAGAGCTTCTTCAAGGCAAATGAAAACAGGATTGAAACAAAAAAAAACCCACTAACTGGGAAAAAATATTTGCAAGTCATATGTCTGACAAAGGCTTAATATCCATAATATATAAAGAACTCTCGCAACTCAACCACAAAACATCAAACAACCCAATCAAAAAATGGGCTGGAGACATGAACAGACATTTCTCCAAAGAAGATATACTGATGGCCAATAGGCACATGAAAAGATGCTCATCATCGCTGATCATCAGGGAAATGCAAATCAAAACTACACTAAGATATCACCTTACACCCGTTAGAATGACAAAAATATCTAAAACTAATAGCAACAAATGTTGGAGAGGTTGCAGAGAAAAAGGAACCCCCTCATACACTGCTGGTGGGAATGCAAACTGGTGCAGCCACTATGGAAAACAGTATGGAGATTCCTCAAAAAATTAAAAATAGAGGGGCTGGCCCCATGGCCGAGTGGTTACGTTCGCGCGCTCCGCTGCAGGCGGCCCAGTGTTTCGTCGGTTCGAATCCTGGGCACGGACATGGCACTGTTCGTCAGACCACGCTGAGGCAGCGTCCCACATGCCACAACTAGAGGAACCCACAACGAAGAATACACAACTATGTACCAGGGGGTTTGGGGAGAAAAAGGAAAAAAATAAAATCTTTAAAAAAAAAAAGTTAAAAATAGAACTACCATACGATCCAGCCATCCCACTACTGGGTATTTATCCAAAGAGCTTGAAGTCAGCAATCCCAAAAGTCCTATGCACCCCAATGTTTATTGCAGCACTGTTTACAATAGCCAAGACGTGGAAGCAACCTAAGTGTCCAGCAATAGACGAATGGATAAAGAAGATGTGGTACATATATACAATGGAATACTGCTCAGCTGCAAAACAGAACAAAATCATTCCATTTGCAATAACATGGTTGGACCTTGAGAGAATTATGTTAAGTGAAATAAGCCAGCTAGAGAAGGATAATCTGTGTATGACTCCACTCATATGAGGAATTTAAAATTATGGACTAAGAACAGTTTAGTGGATACCAGGGGAAAGGTGGGGTGGGGGGTGGGCACAAAGGGTGAAGTGGTGCACCTACAACATGACTGACAAACATTAATGTACAACTGAAATTTCACAAGATTGTAACCTATCAATAACTCAATTAAAAAAAAAAAAAGAATGTGGGTTCAGAGTCAGATAGACCTGGGTTCAAACCCCAGCCAGGCCATATATAGGGGCAGTGTGGCCCAGGCAGGAGGCTAGAAGGTGGGGAAGGGTGTGGCCTTGGGAACAGATCTGCCTCTGATGGGCTGTGCCTCTTCATCTCTCTGGTGGGGATGGGACAGTATCTATCTCATAAAATGAGTTGCTGTGTGAGATCACCTGGCACATGAGTTAAGTGCTTGGGGAACGCTGGCTTTTTTCTGTTGTGTTTTCCTCACTTTGTAGGTGAGGGAACTGAGGCTCAGGGCAGCCAGGAGACTTAGCCAGGGTTATACCCCTGGTGGAGGCAGGGCCGGGCCATAAGTAGAGGTTCTCAGGCCTGTTCTGTGTTCTACCAAGTCACGGGTGCGTCTGGTATTTGTGAGCCTCGGTCGGACCCAGGTTTCTTTCTCAGGTCGTCTGACCACACCTGGTGTTCGTTTGTGGCACCAGAGGCTATGGTGTTCTTCAAGGCAAGGACAAGATGGCAAGGACTTAGAAACCGTGTGGAAATTTGTTAAGAAACTGAGGCTGTTTAGCCTGGAGCAGATTTCTGGGAAACTTGAGCAAGCCTGTTTGCCTCTAAGGGTCGAACAGGGACAGTGTGTTGAAGCTCTAGAAACCGTTCCAGCTGCGCAGATAGAGCGGGGGCAGCCCTAGAGTGTTGTTAGTCTTTGCACACTGGGTGTTCCGGCAGAGGCTGAGTGGCCACTTAGTGCTTGAAGAAAAGAGCAAGTGAGTCTAAGATGGGGAGACCACACACCTCTCTACAATGTGGGCTTGACCCATTCTGAATAAATATAATCCTCTTCCATCCAGAAGGCTCGTAAAATAAGCTACTTTTTCTGGTAAATGTGATGTTGAGATAGGCGCTGGCAGGTTGTGTCACCTTCCTACGCCAACCCGGTCTCCTGGCTGGTCTCACCTCTAGGCTCCTCACCTCTCCATCCCACAGTGTACCCATGTTGGCATATTCATCTTTCCGGTGCTGCTCTAACCCTGTCCACCCTTCATCTGTCCACAAATTGAGTGACCTCTATAGTCTGAGGTGACAGCCCTGTCCTTGGTCCCAATTCCACTGCTCCAGTCCTTGCAACATGTAGGTTCCTGCCCAACTGCTCTGTCTCTCTTTGTGCCAGCTCCTGCCTCACACCTCTGCAAGAATCTAGGCCCTTCGTACAGCTGTTGCCACCTCCACTTCTCAGTCCCTCGTCACCCATTCCAGAGGGGCCCTGTCTTGTCTCCTAGAGTGTGCTCTCTGGGAGGGTGGGAACCACATCTGCTGTGTGCCCATGACCTTCACAGTTTCTTTGCAGTCTGTGTGTGGGGCAGATGCGAGAGAGAACACAGTCTGGACGAGCAGTTCAAAGCTGTTTCCGTTAATTTGTCACCACTGGGAGCGCTTCACATGCTGGCAGGGAGGCAGGATAGCAGAGTTAGAGCTCTGGAGCCAGGCCAGCTGTGTTCGAATCTGGAGACCCTGCGTCTGGCTCTTTGACTTTGGGCAAGTGCCTTAGTTTTTTTATCTGTAAAAATGGGAAAGCTCGCACCTACCCTGGAGCTGCCGTGAGGACCATATTTGTGAAATGCTGGGCACAGTCCCTGGTGCACACAGTAGGCACTCCTCTTCCCCTAGCTTTGCCTGGCTCCTTTATTTCATGATGTTAGTTTCTGCGTTTCTGGACTTCCCACCAGCCAAGGCTTCTCCTCTTTGTGTGTCCCTGTTCCCCGCTGGTGCTGCTGGCCCTTACTGATGAGGTGGTGACTCCCTTCCAGATGTCCAACATCACAGTCACATACAGAGATGGCCGAGTGGCACAGCTGGAGCAGGTGTACATCCGCGGCAGCAAGATCCGCTTCCTGATTTTGCCTGACATGCTGAAAAACGCACCTATGTTAAAGAGCATGAAAAATAAAAACCAAGGCTCGGGGGCCGGTCGGGGAAAAGCTGCTATTCTGAAGGCCCAAGGTAGGTGTTCTTCATGTACTGGTTTTAACATATAGGTTTGTTGTGTATCTTTTAGGAAAGGACCCTGTCATTGCCTGGGCACGGGGGTGGACCTGACCTCAGCTGTCTCCACACCCACTGCCACCCCTTTTCCCTGCAGTCTTGGGGCCCTCACTTGTGAGGTACTCGGGCCCTTGTCCTGCCTTCTCTGTCTTGCCTCGTCTGAGCACATTCATAGGGCTTATGCAAAATCCAGAGTGGCTTCTTAGAAAAAAGATGGGGACTCCTGTCTTAAATGAAAGAGTTGAAGTCTCCTATAATGAATTTCTAGAAGGCCCTTTGTTTCCAGAAACTCTGAGACGTCTGGGGGAAGCTTGTTCTTGTCTAGTTTGCTGAGCAGGGCACCTTGGTGTGGGTTAGCTGACCCCTGAAGCGATGGGCAATAGTTCCCAGGCCGGGGATGTGTATTGACACCCAGCATAAATCGGGAGAAATTCTGATGATGGGGGATCCATCCCCAGGTAAAGAGTAAGCAGTTTTAAGCCATCTTTACCCATTAAATGGGGCTGGACTTCTATTTTCAAAGCTTCTTACATTTGAAAATAAATCCTTTCTTTAGCGTGTTCTGAAAGCGGGACTAGCCTTTTCCCACTGTTTCTTCTGGTTTAGCCCCATCAGAGGTTTTATATTTGGGTCCGTGAGAAGTTCTGCCATGTTAATTAGCTAAGAAAGCAGATGCAGTCCTTAGAAACTGTCTTAGTATCGGTAAGAAGATTTACAGGGCAGGAAAGTCGCTGAATATCACTTATGTTATATATGAGGTAGCTTTTGACTTTAAAGATGTAATAGAGTAATCCTTTAAAATACCTTCCAAAAAAACTGAGCCGAGACTCTCCTTGCCCTTCCTAGACAAGAGGCGTTTGTGGGGAGATGGAACCAGAAGCTCTGGACCTTTTGTTCTGGAGAAGGAATGATTTTCAGAAATGCCAGCTTTCTTGCTAGAACTGATATTCTCTCTGCCTTCTCAGGGAAGGGCTGCCATCCTTGTCACTCTGTAACTGCACCATCTTCTCTAACAAAAGGGGAAACCTGGTGGCTGTGCACTAGAAGGCACTGGGCAGTGGTTGGCCCAGGCCCACTGGCTTTTGCCTGAGCCATCAGTGCCTCTCCAAACCCCTTGTTCTGTCCTGTCAGCGTGGGGCTGGGCTCTCAGGTGACTTCCTCCCTCTTCAGGGCAGTCCAGGCTCTGTAAGGAGAGGGGGATGAGGCTCTAATTAGTAGCCATCAAAATATTTTCACCTATCCTTCAAAGCCACTGGTCCCCTCCTAGAACCCTTGGGTCACAGAGAACAGTGATCTTTTTGTGACCTTGGTATGAGGAGAAGTTTTGTTTGTTTTTTCATTTTGAGTGTTTTTTTGCTATCATGAATTTTATACGTGCAGAATAGCTCAAAGAATAATAAAGCCCCTCACTCAGATTTAACAGACATTAACATTTAAGTCTGTGTGTTTCAGAATTCTGAGTGTGAATTAAATACATCTGTCATGTTTTATTAGCTCGCCCTAGGCCAGCTCTGGGAATTCATCTTTTCTCTGGTTCTCAGACTTGCTTTCCAAACCACCCTCACTCTTGACACCCTGCCTCCCAGCCTCCTGTGGAGAGCGGTGCTGGACTGGAAGGCAGGAGTCTGGTGCCCACTCTGAATCCCTCTCTGCGTCTCCATTTTCGCCTGTGAAATGCAGTGGGTGGACGTAGTGTTGGCCCAGGTGGCCTCTCAGGCCCCTTCCTACATCGATGTCCTAGGGCTCTGGCTGCTCTGTAGCATGAGTACTCATTGACCACACTGACCTGGCCTTGTCCTTTCTCTATCCCACCTTTCAGTGGCTGCGAGAGGAAGAGGACGTGGAATGGGACGTGGAAACATCTTCCAGAAGCGAAGATAAATTTATCTATTGAACAGAACTTTGCCTCTATTTTTTTTTTTTTAGGTTATCTCAGTTCGGGGGTGGGGGGTGTGTGCTTATGTATATGTCCTAGGTTTTCTTTTGTCAACTTTCTCTTTAGATCAGAGGAAATGTTAAACTAAATAAATATGATTGGTTTGGTTTGGTTTTTTGGTTTGTTTTTTTGAGAAAATAAGAACTGTGTGTTCGTTTTGGAGTTTGGTTTGTGTTTGCTTTGGCAGCAGGTTAAATTTTGACACCCTGGGAGATGTCCTGGGAAAATGCCAGTTATTTTGAAGTAGCACAGTTATTGATAAGAGTTTAAGCTGCTGTTACAAGCCCTCAGAAAACCCCTGAGAATACACTGGCTGTCTCCTTGGTCTTCAGACACAGGCATTTACATGCAGCTTTGTTCAGGTAGCTTTAGGGGAAATGTTGAACAGCACAACACGGGCTGTCCTGGCCTATGAAAAAGTCCAGTGCTCTGGTCTCTGGCCTGGAAACCCTAGTGGTTCAGCGTTTGGCAAAAGTAATCTAAAATTAAAAGGTGATTCTGAGAATGTTAGTGGCCAACATCTGTGGCTCCTGTACTGGCTTGATAAGCAGTGTGTGGTGATTTTGGGGGACAGATTCTTGTGCCTTTATCAGAACATCTCAGCATCCATTGGCACAGCCAGGTTTTACTGTAGCAAAGGTAGAGAGGACAGGGTATGTAAAGCGAGTCACTGCGACAAAAACAAATCGGAAAAGCAGCTGAAGAAGTCAAATACTGAAAAGAGGTCTTGCAGTGTTCAGTATAGGGTGAGCTAAGCAAAAACTGTTGAGGAAAAGGGGTCAGTTTTGGCTCTTAGAACATTGCTCATTGAACAATTGTTCAAGTAATAAAAGAAGAGGAACGAGAAAATCCAACACAGCTGTTAATCTGGCATCAAGTAGGGCTTTTCTAACAAGATTTGTCTTGTAATCATGACACTGCCACGAGGTAACAGACCTTGTGTAATTCCTGTAATGAAGAACTCCTGAGGAGCAAGCATCGCCCATCAGTCAGATACCACAGGCATGTGCAGTAAGGCTTCAAAGACCATCCACCCAGAGCAGACCCTGTGCCTCTTGCTCCAGCATCCCCAACCCCTCTGACTCTTCTGTGCTGGTCACCTTGATTTATAGACGTTGATCTCTTGGCTTATTAATAAAGCCTGCTGAGTTATTATTATAGCGAGTGAGAGCAGTAGTGTGGTTTTTTTTTTGGGGGGGGGGGTTGCTGAGGAAGATTGGCCCTGAGCTAACATCTGTGCCAGTCTTCCTCCACTTTGTATGTAGGATGCCTCCACTGCATGGCTGATGAGTGGAGTAGGTCTGTGCCCAGGATCTGAAGTGGAGTGCACGGAACTTTAACCACTCGGCTCCATGGGAACAGTAGTTTTCAGCATCAGCAAGGGATCTTGTTAGAAATGAAGATTCCAAGGCCCCACCCTTAGAAACAGTAATTAGTTGGTCTAGAGTGGGGCCCAGGAACCTGCATTTTACAAAATGCCCTTGCCACCCCAGCTGGGTGATTCTGATTCAGTATATCACTGAGGCCACATTTTGACCCTGGACTGGAGTATATTATGTTAGTATGATCACTACTTAAACTATACTTTTACAGTAAACAATATTTTAAATAACACACTACAGTTGATAGTAATGAAGTGCATCCTGAATCTGAAAAGCTGACTGGACATGGTTCATCCTGAGAACCACGTAGGGATAGGCAGCCTTGAATGATTCTGCACACAGTGAAAACTAGCTGTAACCCTAGATGCTGAAAAGTGAAGGGTTCTGCAGTTTAGAAAAAAATCAGTTATTCACATTGAAGGAGTAAAAAGTTCTGCAAGGTTTATTATGAGAAACACCAGCCGTACCCTCCCTGTTCTTCTGCCCCGTTTTCCCTGCCTCAGGGTAGTCCCTTTCAACTCCTGACTGTTTCCTTAGTATTTGCCTCCACAGTCTCACTTGAAATGTTTGCCTGGCTACTCCTTAATGATTCCATCTTAGTCATTTTCTTTTGACTTTTCTCTCCTACTGCCCGCCATGCGTGGACTCCCCGTCACTCACCCCCCTGATATTATAAGTCTAGTTAGAGCACAGTGTTTACATTATTATGGCTGGTATTTAAATCATGCTGAGCCATGTAGTGGGCTAGATTACTTTCCTGCAGAACTTTCTATTCCCTAGAATTAATAATCTTGCATTTTTATTTGCTTAATTGTCTGTCTGCTTGTGACCAAATCAACCGCAAACTTCTCTGAAGACATTCATACATCCTCTGTTTCATCAATTTCCTCTTGACCCACCCCAGCCTAGACTGGCTATCCCTTGTGCCTGATGCATTGCTGTCATCATGGGCTCTCCCCACCCCTCTCTGTTGAATTTCCTGTTTTCTGTGTAACCTCTTACGCTCTCAGGTTATTACCCCATCCTGCTAGAGTACTTGTGGTAGGAGGGGTGCATGGGAACTAGTTTTTTGAGAGACTGCATGTCTGAAAATGTCTTGTTCTCACACTTGGTTGGCTATGAAATTCTAAGTTGGGATTTGTTTTCCTTTAGAACTTTGAAGGCACTGTTACTTTTCCATCTAGGATCTAGTGTTGCTGTAGAGGAGTCTGAAGCCATTCTGAGTCCTGATCCTTTCTATGTGACTTTTTTTCTCTTCTGTTGGCAGTCTTCTGAAATACCGCAATGACACGCACTGGCGAAGGTCTGTTTTCATGCATTGTGCCAGGCCTTTGATGAACCTTTTCAGAATGGACTCCCATCCTTCATTTCTGGGCAACTTCCTTGAATTATTTGTTAATGATTTCCTTCGTTTGCTTTTCTGACTTTTCTTTCTGGAATTCCTGTTAATCAGATGTTGGGTCTCCTGGACTTATTTTCTCCCCCGACCACGGCTCCATTTTCATATCTTTGATCTCCTTTATGGAAGAGTGCCCCCAGGTTGATTCTCTGAATGTTCCTTTTTTAAATTTTTAACAGGCCTGTGTTCTGTGGTTGCAGTATCTTATCTCTGAGAACGTTGAAATGTTTGTGGAAGCTTTCATCTCCCTGCATAATGTTTTTTTCTCTTTTTTTTTTCCTTTACTTTTTCATGTTACAGACTTTCCTTAGCTGCCTGGCAATCATTGGTCTGCTTCTCTTTAAGAGTGAGGTATTAAAAAGTGTATGTGTTAGTAAGGTGAGCTGATTGAACTTTTTTGGGTAAATCCCCAATGTCCATACGTTTACGACTTTCCTCTTGGGCTGGTCAGATTCCCTGGAGAAAATTTCCAGTCTCTTGTCCTGAGGGTTTACCTTGAACTTCTGGCCTTCTGGGAGCTCAGTGGGGGAAGAGGACTGGGGAGTTTCAGCATTCTAGTATGTCCAGATCACTTCATCTTCGGGGTTTCTGGGAAAACTTCCTGGTCCAGAAACCTTCTCATGCCTTCTAGAGAACAAGCTTCCAACTTTTTGCCATGATTCGGGGTGGGGGGCAGTCTCAAGCGCATGTGGAGGTCTGCATGTTTAAGCACATTCTCTCTTTTTAAAAAAAACATGTTTTGTCTTTGAAAATGTTACTTTAAAATGGAAAACAACTTGGCAAGATAAAGAAGATATAGAAGAAAGGATGATGTCAGAAAGATAACTAGACCAAGGTTTAAGAGATGGATTCTGGTTCTGACTACCTCCACTACCACTTCTCTCCAAGCCTATGGTTTGTTATCTGTACAAGGGAGAGTTTTTATTCAGTTGATTCCTTTATACTCTCAGCTTCTACACTCACCTGCTGGGTATTCCATAACCTTTTAAACAAATAAAGTCAAAATAAAGCATACTGGATCTTTTCTGCTTCTGGCCAAGACGTGGGTAATTACCTGGATTTACCTTTATGCCTGGAAAAAACCAAAACTCAGACATTGAGTAATCACTAAGAGATGGAAAACAAATAAGGTAGGCTGCTGCCTTGCAAGAGCTTCCAGTCTGTGGCACAGCGAGGGGGAGCTGCAGCAGACCCTGCCAGCCTACCTGGGCTGAGGAGTCAGAGCTAAGAGTTCAGAGAGATGAGTTCATAGGACAGAATACCAGAGAGAAGGCGGCTACACAGAGAACTCGAGATCCGCAGAAGGCCTCTTGAATATTCAGAATACTCATCGGCACATGAGTGTGAGGAAACTAACTGAGGCTGGGGAAGGAACCATCAAAAAGGATAACAGTGGCTGGCATCCCAGCCTTGTGGCTGGGAATAATTCCTGTTCTTACTATCCAGACAAAAACTCAATTCATAGGATATTGGGTAGATGTTTTAAAATGTACCAAGGATTTTTTTAAAATCAGGTATGGTAAGGTGACATACATGGAGACAACTGCCTTGAAAGAAGAGTTTATTACAGCTCCCAAGAGGCGGCACATCATGCCACGCAGGGTCACATGAAGAAACACAAGGGTGGGTCATGAGGCAGAATGAAGGAGGGGAGTGCGAGGGGAGTGTGGCTCAGAGCCGTCACTGTGGTTTCCATGGGGAAGGAATGGATGAGGCAGCTAGGCAGGTTTAGAATTGGATGATTTGAATAAAGGCAAAGGGCTCTGGCTATTGGGGTGATCTCTTATCTAGTACTTGGTCCTGGGGTGGTTCAGGGCAGGGGAAACACTGGCTTGGTGTGAGAGTTAGGTAAAGGTGGTTGGGGATAGAGTTTGGGTTGGTTAGTTTGTATATGAAAGGCATACCCACAGGCAAGTTACTTACTGTCTGAGAATTAACTAACTCTGGGAGGGGCAGTCTCTCCAGGATTAGCAAAGCCCCAAGATGTCAAAGTGTCATTTAAAAAAAGTCACATTATGGGGCCGCCCGGTGTCGTTAAGTGCGCATGTTCTGCTTTGGCAGCCTGGGGTTCGCCGGTTCAGATCCCGAGTGCGGACATGGCACTGATGCGGGGTCGGCGAGCCAAAGAGTCCAAAGAAAGATTTCTTGGACTCTCTAAGTCTGGCAGTAGTGCTGTTTTATTTAGAGAACAGTATGGAATAGCATGGGGACAGGACCCGTGCAGCAGCTCTGACTGCCCATGGGTCCTGTCCCCATGCTATTCCATACTATTCTCTAAATAAAACAGCACTACTGCCAGACGTTGAGAGTCCAAGAAATCTTTCTTTGGACTC